CTCACTCCCAGTAGGGTTCCCTGCCATCTTTGGGGCTGCTACACGCATCCTCTGGGAGGACTCACCTTACTTCTGCTTCCGATTCATTGACCTTAGAAGAGCTCCCTCAGATCTGCCCTCTGCATAGATTCCTTTCTCCTCTACTGTCCCCCACCTCTTCTTCCCCTCCAAGCTAGAAGTGCCTTCATGAAGAGACAATCCTCCTATCTGTGACAAACCCTGCGGCCTCCTAGACGCATGGGCTGCTGTTCTTGCAGCCATTCTTTCTCTTCCGCTCCAGTCTGAGCACAAAAACTGCAGTCAGCAGCACCAGCCTTCAGCTCTTCCTGCAGGAAACAGCTCCCCCACGTGTGGGATCAAGAGGAGCCTTCTGATGAACTCCTCTTCCTGCAGCCCATTCACTTACCAAGGCTGAAGACCTGGGAACCAAACCTTGCAAATTTCCGAGGATGGTGATGCCCCCATTTTTCTGGTAACTTGTTCTAGTACTATACTAATGAGCGAACAAGTACTCTGCCGGTTTCCAAGCGTCCCAAACTGAGCTTTCCGAGCTGCAATTTTGTAGCTATTGCCCTTTCATTATACCACCCGCCGCTACCAAGAAAACGTTGCTTTGCCATCTTTGCATCTGCCCTCCAAGTAGCCACAGGCTGCAATGAGATCCTCCCTTAGTCCTCTCTTTGCCAGACTAAACAAGCCCAGCTCCCTCGGTCTCTCCTTGTGGGCCCTGTGCTCTAGGACTCTGGCCTCCCTGGTAAGCTTTCTGCTGGACCCTCGCCAGGTCCTCTCCCTGAGGACATCTCCTGTAGATGTCCTCTGCACATCCTCCCTGGCTAGGGAGCCCAGAACTGGACACGCTATTCCAGGCACAGCCTCACCAGGGCCAGATAGAGAGAAGTAGTAACTTCCCTCCATCTGCTGGCCACGTTCATCCTAATACAGCTCAGTATGCTGTTTGCCTTATTTGTGATGAGAGCACACATGTTGGCTTATATTCAACTTGGCACTCACCATAACCCCCAGGGCCTGGTGAGCAGGGCTGCAGCTCAGCCCATGCAGGTGCAGGCCCCAGCCAGATGTCACACCTCACCTGCTGAGCCCCACAGGTTTCTCTTAGCCTAGTGCTCTAACCTATTGAGGTTCCTTGGGTTTGAAGCATGTGATGTATCAGCCACTCCCTATAATGTAGTAACACCATGTGCAAGAATTAGAAAATGACAAATGCAAGTGATAATTTAATTCCTTCAGTCACTAAAGACTGTTAATGGTATTTCACAGCTTTCATGATGTCTGGCTGCACTCTTCCAAGTCCTCCTTTGTTCCCGTTCAGTCCATAGACTCAGTGAACTGCAGTCCTGTCCTCAACCACCTCTTGGCTGCTCACAGCACCAGGAGAAGGAATCCGATTAGGGGATCTATTTCCATTCTCTTGTTTTCTTACTCTCCTTCTAGCATACAGGCTAGTGAGACTGGCTCTGAGAACCCCAGAATGCCTTTGCTGCACCAAAGGCAAAGGATACTAGTACTTCTATTTCCCCTTTTCAGGTTATTTCTCCTTTGTCTTGAATATTTGTATCAGTGAACAGGTCTGTGCATCAAAGGCCAAATGCTGCAGGAGTTATTCCCACGTCATTTCTTTCCTCACTCCCAAAAGAAAGAATTCACTTTAATAGAGAAAGAGCAGTGCATACATTGCACAGTGGTGGACTATAAGGTGATGTAATGCTTTATCAGTTGCAAAGAAACTGTGAACCTCAGCCAAAGACCAGTGACATGCATAGGAGGGTTTGGATTTTACATGAGGCTTATGTTAATTTAGTCAAAAAGTAAGGAGTGGATGTTCAGGTCTGAAATCAAAAGTGCACTTAACCATGCAAGCAGTCCCAATGAAAGCAAGAGGCCTGTGTATAGGCTTAAGGTTATGCATACAGCCAATTAAATGTGCTGCTGGGTCTGTTTTGTCATGTGCGGCACATGATGCAGACTTTTTGCTGAAAGTTTCCCAATGCTGCCACCTTCAGAACAGGTTAACTATAGCTTTCAAAATAGCAGCAAAAAGGAAAACCCCATTTACAGAGACCGTAGGTACTGTTCTGAGCTAGCAATGTGCAGGTCTAAACAGAAATTGCACCTGAAACTCATATTTCTCAAATATTTCCAAGGCTGGTTCTTTATGTCAATAATCAGTATTTTAATTTATATACTATGCCTTAACTGTGCAGCTACTTTTAGCAACACAGTTTTCTGAATAGTTTCCCAAGACCTATTTCTGAAATAAACTAGACATCTTGGACTGCTAAGAGTCCACCTCTGGAAAGTTGCACAAAAGTCGCAAGAACTTATTAATTCAAATAAATAATTGCTCAGTAGACTCCTTATGTCTGGAAGAGAAGCAGTAACAACAGTCAAGTCACAGATCTCTTCCAGAGTAGGCATAAAACACAGCACCAACCTTGCAAACTACCTGCCCTTTTCTAGCAATTGTCACTATGTGAATTCAGAGGTAAATTATTCATGGCTTTAGATGAGAAACTGAGAGGGTCAAAAGCGTGGATTTAATCAAGGAGGACGCACAGGAAGTTAAGCAAAGATATAATTCCATATAGAATTATAGATTTTAGATGAAAACATAAGGGAAAACAGCTAAAGACAACAAACAAAAATAAGCCTAGTTTCAGGTAGGGTGTGATTAATAGAAAATATTAAATTAAATAGTACCTTCTCATGAAAATAAGATATATGTTGATTTGTAGCAACCCATAAAAGCCCACAAACATTCACATCTTTCAGTTCAAACACTATTGCTAAAGTAGTGAACACAATAGGCAAAGATTAAGTAATAATTTGCAAATAGATAAAAGCAACTTGAAAATAGGCTTTAAGGAAAAAAATGTATTTATTGAGAGCTTATATACATGTGATATGATTTAAAAATACCTTCCTTTCCTATTTATGGTTTATCCTGTATGGTTGTTACTTAGCACATACTTCTGTGTATTGTTACTATGCTTCTGAACACAGTAACACAACATCTGGAAGTGCTGCACTATTAATATTGCAAAATCTTCCATCTGTTCAGCTTTCAGATCCTCACCCACTGTTTGGGATGCATCCTCATCCTAAGCAACTCAATCCCAACTGCTGAAGTCTTCTCCATCCCCAACAACTCATCTTCCTCCTTCTACCCAAGCTGTTTTAGTGGAAAGTTCTACCTCAGCTGTTTTTCAGGTCCCTGTGGTAATTTTGGTAGGGGAAAACACTCTTACTAGTAATAGTATACATAAGTGGATGGATAACACTCAATCTCCTTAGCTGTTCCCTTTACTCTCTCCTCAGAAATTGTAGCAGGGAGCACAAGGTGAGGAAATAAGTGTTCGTCACAACCCTTTGCCTACTTTTCACAAAGCCAAAATTGTTCAAATGTTTGAGTAGATTCAAAATCCAGAAGTCCGAGTAAAAGAATGAAAGCATCTAAAGAATAACTTTGGTAACACTAAAAATTTATGATGCTAGATAAAAATTACTGCTGTAATCACTATAAAAAATATAGTAGTGTTCCAAATGCATTTTTGGGTAGCTACACTGCTAGCTACCTGTCTACCTATACACAGCTAGAGTTATATACAGCAAGCACCCTAGGCAATGGCCTTCAAAACAGAGAGGTCCCCTGCAGAATAAAAGCATGCTTGCTCAGGTACAAGAGACAGCTGGCAAGGCTCTACCTGCTCTCCTGTCCCCTCCTACCATTTTTCTGACCGCTATTACTCCCTGGAGCCACCTGCACTCCAGCCCCTGTTGCTCCTGGGCCGCACTGGGGGGAAGGCTGCAGAGAGGCCATGCCAGACCTTCCTCAACATCTCACAGCACCATCCACCAACAAGAATGAAATGCTGCTGTGCAAAACAGCGATCGAGCAACATGTCCTTTCCTTAGTAGCAAGCTTTCACTCTCCTACTAACAGGAACTAAGACAATGTTTAGAATTGAAATACTTAAGACTGTTTGTTACTCCTCAGAATTACAAATAAGAGTGTCCACCACTAGCTTCAGCTAACAGGTAAAATAGGAGTAGTAACAAGGTCCAACACAGAACACATTCAGACTATACATGGCTTTAGTAACCAAAGGTCATTTTTTTTGACTTACACCTCAAAAAGTCCTGGAAGTCCAGAACAGTTTGCATCATACAAGCAGCAGCAGAGACCACAGTAGAACTTAAAGTTATCAGGCAACATAAGGAGAGTTGCCAGGCACAGGCTGGACTACAGTGCATTAAGAGAAAGGCCTGGAGCTGAAACAACATACCACACCCTTTCTTACAGCTACCCCATGCCACTTGTTTTTTTTTCCCCCCCCTCTCCCTGCAACCCAGTTTTTCTGCAATTCAAAGTCCATTTAGCATGCAGGGCCTCCCTTAATTTTGTAAGGGAAGTCTAGTAGAGCCACTTAAAAGCTTCTCTAACACAATTTCAGGTTAATAGGCAGTGGCTAGATGAGAACTGTGGTCAATATTAGCTAGCAGACTTTAGCCACAGGTAGAAGAGACCCCAGAACAGGTTTTCTATCAGAGAAGGCAGGATATCAAGCAGTTCAGTGGGTATTTTGTTGCTTATAGCATCCACAATACAAAGCCTCAGTAAAATCAAAGAGTTTGAAGTTGACATTTGAGTGCTCATTTATCACATCTCACCACCGTACCTCAAAGTAAGTGCATTAAGGATATCAAACTGCAGCTTGGGAGTTTCAGACTGGCCATTAGAAAAAGCTTTACCAGGAGGTTAGTACAGCACTGAAGCATTCCCCAGAGACTGGGGAATATCCATCCTTAGAGGCCTTCAAAAGGCTAGAAAAGGCTGCAGCTGACTTGCCACCTTGAGGTTGACAACCTTCTGCTCAGAGCAGAACTTCACTATGGAACCTTCAAAGGTCCTTTAAAAAGGAATTTATAGGATGTCTGCAGGCAACTCTTTTGGAGAAAGTTACATTGATCACTTTAGTCCATTTTGTTTTCCAGCAGAAACTTTATTCTCATTAAGGACAAGGAAATATCAACCAACAGCTCAATTTACAGACACAGATTAAACAAGCCCTGTTAAGCATTTTCTACTTAACATGTGGAAAAACAAAACTAGAAGTCTAAAGACATCTGATGTGTCCAAACTGTTCATGTTAAAACTTGAGCTCATCCTTTAGCAAAAGCTCAATCGATGTTGCCTCCGTGTATAGCAAAGGGTGGAAACAATTCAAATTACTGGAATAGCTGTGTTTAACAAGTACTGAAGCACTGAAGTTTAGACTGCATTAACTGGTGTGCTATTAGACTGCTTTCCTTGCATCTCTTCAGACTCTCAGGCAGATTTGCAGAAAGCCACAGCAGAAAAACGGACTTCTCCTTTTTCACGTTCTGTAAATTGTCTGCATATCTTAGCAGAATCCTTGGAAGAAGAAAGGGCTGTTTAGACTCACAGAACACTGATGCTGGTCTAGACCCCAAAAGGCTTTGTAGCTCCACTCTCGGTTACTGCAACCAAGTTAGTGTCTAGCAGCACCAGCACATAGACACATTTATCAGACATCTAGCTCTGTGGCACAATACTACCTTGTTACCATGGCATGAGAAGCACTAACTTCTATAACAAGGCGGCACAGAGAGCAGCCGCTATACCCCAAAAGCATGCCTCTCACTATTTCAGAAGCCTGGTTGCCTGGGAAACAGGCAGCTAGTGAGAAGTCTTACCTTCAATAGCAAGTCATCTGAACTTGTGCCATGGTTTACCGGAAACGGCATCCGGCCATCTGTGAAAGAAAGTCTTGTCAGGATACTTACCAATACTTTCAAGTTGGAGAACTCAGCACAGTAGGCCCAAGAAACAAGTACCCACATAAAGACAGTTGAACAAGGTCAGAATACACCACAGTTTGGAGGAGAAAGGGACTAAATATTCTCAGCTCTGCAGGAGATAACACGCTTTACAAGGGGGCCTGAGCCTACAATGCAACCCACCTTAAGACCGTCATCCACAGGTTCTTATTTTGTATTCCACACTGGCCAAGAGCCAAGTGAACAGCCTTTTAGCCTGAAACACCACCACTGTTTTACACTATAAAACTTAGTCCAACGCTAGTGCCTTACCCAATTCATACAGATGTCCATCCACATTGACAAACAGGATGAAATGGAAGTTCACACTGTTGTCATCAACCTTAGGATAAACAATTAGATACATTTGTTAGGTTAAGAAAAGAAAGCCTATTGTACAGTCTGAACCCTACTTGTGACTACAGGAGCTGGAACACTTTAGGAAGTTCTCCCAAGACAGAGGGGATCAGCAGCAGAGGGCTATTCAGTTAGGCAGCTGTTTACCAACAGCAGAGGACTAGCAACTTAGGTCAGCTAAATAGTCAGTCTCTGCAAGACTGACTATTCAGATCTCAAAGTAAGAGACTGCTTATGTCGAGCTCCAATAATCCTACTGTAAGTCACATTTTCAACATATATCCAGGAAGAGTCTCAACCAAAAGTTTTCAATGCATGTTTGAGGAAGGAACCCTGCACAAGCATTCATCCATTAGTCACTCATTTCTCCTTCTGTGAGCTGTAACAGCAGTCTACCAGATCTAGAACTTTATTGCTTTACCGCCTTTAACACCCATCCCCTCCATCCCAGATTTTACTCATTCAGCTCTTACCCGGCATTGTCCTTCTTGTGCAACAGAATTGTGGACTTCTTGTATGGCCTTAAGAGAAAGCAGATACAGGTTACTACGCCCCTAAGTGCTGAGAGCTATCAGCAGTTTGTATAGTTCATATACCTTATTACTTGCAAAACGTTTAGCTCTCTCTTCAGGAGACAAGTCAGCTGTTTCATCAAGAAACTTCTTCAGGGCAGACCCCTCATCTGCACAAAACCAAAGGTTTTATTCAGCATAGGTAGAGAATCACTTACAACTTAGGTGTAGCCCACAACACCCAATGGTTATTATGCTAATTAGAAATCATTACGCTTAGCCTGAAATCATCTTCAGCGTAAGCGCCTTTCAACTACCACTTGAAATAGAAATTATTTATCTGGAAGCTTCTGATGACAAGCCACACAAACAGTAAGAGTTCCAGTGCCTCAAGGTTCTCTGAATGCCTGTCTTTGACTGACTGACTTTCAAGATTTGGCTTTTGCCATTTCTCCCCGCTACAGATTTGGGGGTAGTGTTCAATCACATCCTGCAAAGAAAATCCAAGAAAGGTAACAGTAGTTAGGATAGTTACTTAAGTATCAACTAATAGGGTAGACTGAAGAGTTCTGTCCTTCTGTGGAATCTCACTGCCTTCAAATGCACATGCATTAGCTCATGCCAGGCTTCGGTTTTCCAGTGCCTGAGTTAGCACATCTTAGTATTGCAGTACTAACTGAATTTGTAGTATTAGATGGAAGATATGACATGTTATTTGAAAGGTGTGCTATTTCAGAGAATCCTTTCAAGAGTGAAGCAAGATTAGCCTATCATACGTGTTCTCCTTTGTACAGGAAGGAATCCCACACTACTCAGGAGGGTGCAAGCTCTTTTGACAGAAAGCAGTTACATTATATTATGCAGATCTCTAGTCTGAGATGCAAGATGTAATATACAATAAAGTATTTCCTGAACAGAGCGACAAATCTTTCTCGATAAGACCTAGTAATCTTGTTTCCTAGGAACAGGAGTTTCCAGCCACCAATTACCTCAACCAGTTTTATACCTTCTTCTGTAGGATAAGAACCATCAAAACTGTTCTCTCAGGAAACAATCTTACAGGTCCACATCAGCCTATGCTACTTACACATGGAAAAGTCAACACATCTGATTTACAGGCTACCCTGAGGAAGTCTGTTCTAGACAGACTTTCAAGTTTGTTCATGCCACATGTAAGTGCCATGAAAAACTAACTGTTCAGTTTATCTCAGTGTCAACAGCCACTTTTGACGGGGATAATACCTACACTGTAACAGACCCCAGCCAGCCCTACTACTTGCCTTTTCCCTTTGTAAACCTGTTACTGAAGCATTGCTCACTAAAAAGATGGAGGATATCCTACAGCTACCAGGCGTAAGTCAAAGCATACTCCCTCCTGCAATTCAGGCAATAGGCAAAACCACACGTTTCTCAGAGCAGAAAAACCCACTTACCAACAGAAGTAGTGCAGCATGCTTTAACTTGGATTGCCAAGGCATGAAAATCTCAGGGAGAGTCTATGGCCCCTACCTACTCAGCTTTCCTCTTTTTTTAGAGGAAAAGGGAAATTAAAGCGTTTCAAAACACTCATACTCACCAAGTTTCAGTTTGTCTTTGTTATTAGCAACTGCATGTATCAGACCAATTGTCCCACAGGAGTTACTAACAGTCTGCTTCAAAAAATACACCTTGGAACTGATTTCTTGGTCCTTTATTTCCTCCGTCTGCTGTTTCCTGAAGTTCTCATGCTGTAAACACGCAGTTTTGAGACTTTAGCCGCAGTGATGCCTTTTTATTGGGCAAACTAACAGATAAATCAATTATGCAGCAGAGCCAATACCAAGACTGGACAGAAGAATTACCCAGAAAGTCATCTCTGTGGCACTGGTCCAGTAAAGCACTGTACATCTATATTGGATGCAGTCCAAATCTTAATGGACCACTTGCATGACTCAGTCATATTCAAAGGCTCTGTACTTAGCCTCTCCGTCTGTTCCACACACTGGAAACAGAACGGGGGGGAAGTCACAGCATAGTAGATAGGCTCTTTCATTTCTACTCTCAAGGATGCTTTGGTCCATTTAGCGACACTCCTCAGCATCTCTCCACAACAGATGCAGTTGTACCTTTAGGTAACATTCCTTCTCGAGTCCCTCCCCATCAGAGGGATATACAGACAGTGTAAAACCCATCACTATGAGATGCTATAATCCTTCCTTTAAAGGACCTGTTATGTTATTTCAAAGTCCACCTCATCACTAAGTCTTTAGCATTAGAGCTGGACCAAGCATATTAATTACACCAAAGTACTTCGGTGCCCTGAGGCCTCTCCAGGCTTCATGATTAGGCATGAAAACAAAATTGCTATTCTCCCACTAGACTGTTAAATATATTTCCCCTCCCCCAGCCTGGCACACAAAGCAAAGCTCAAAAGGAGCCTTACAGCGTAAAAAGCTGCCCTTCGCTGCTCGTTTCGTTCTGCATCAGGCTGCTCAGAGGCCTGGGCAGAGGGCACAGGACACGCGACCCGCCACCCCCCAGCCACCCGCTGCCAGGCCTCCCGCTGCCCGGCGCCTCAGCTCTCCCGGCAGCCGCTGCCATCCCCCGGGCAGCCGCCCGCCTCTTC